CCCATGCCCTTGCCCCTTGCATCCCTGTTCCCCACCCCCCACCCTCCCCCTGCAAAAAAGCCTGGCCCATGCCCCTGTGATGCCCAGCCTGCCAGGGGAGAGGGGTGCCAGCTGGGGACACCCCGGGGACACCCCTGGGGTGGGGAGAGGTGGGGTGCCCAGCCGGGCACCCAGGGGAGTCAAACCAAAGGAAAAGCCTGACTGTGCCCAGGTCTGGCTTGGTCGCCCCCAGCTCCGGGGGGGGCGGATTTTTGTACTTTATTTTGGTTGTGTCCCGTTCCCAGAGCCTGGCTCGCCCATGTACCACCCGGAAACGCCCATTAAAAACAAGCCCCTGGCTGTGGTTTTTTTCAGGGCTGCGTCCATGTGTCTGGAGGGGGCGTCAGGGGCCACGTGCCCCCCCCCCTTGGGTCCTGCTGCAGGCAGCTCCTCCACGCCCATGGGGCAGCTCCAGCTCTTGTGCCCTCTGGCTGTGCTGAGACCGGCCACAGCTCAGTGCAGGAATGAGCCAGCCAGCTCCTCCAGAGTGCAGGAAGGCTCCTCGAAGGAGGGGATGCAACGTCACTCCGGGGGGGCTCCGGCCACCCGCACCACCAGCTCCATGGGCTCCTTGGCTTTGTTGCGGTAGGCCTGGCGGATGATGTCCACAGCCCGCTGGTGGGTGACGTTCTGCAGGTTCTCCCCGTCCACTGACACCAGCTCCTGCCCGGCCTGGCCGCCGCAAGAGAAGGCAGCAGGATGAAGTGCAGATGCTTTTGGGGTGCCAGGGGGTTGCCAGCACCCAGCGGCACCGCAGGATGGGGGTATCTGGATGCCTGCCCACCCCCTGGGGTGTGCTGTGTCCCCCTGAGGTCCCCCTGTACCTTGAGGATGCCGCTGAGGAAGGCAGCTCCCCCAGGGAAGATCTTCTCAATCTTCACCACTGGCTGCGCCCTCGACTCGATGCCGCCGGAGATGCTGATCCCTGCGAGGTAGCCGTGAGACCCTCGCACCTGGGTAGGCTGAGACCCCCACCCACTCATGGGCACGGCACCCCCCTCCCCTGGGCAGATGTGCCTCTGTCCTGCCCTGTTTTGGTAGGTCCTACAGGGACAAGGGCACCGGACAGTTGCAGCTCCTCTTCTCCCCATCTAGTTTTCAAGGAGTAGGTAGGGGCAGTACTCGGGGTTTTGCTCCCTGTCCCCTAAGTGGGGTGCCCCTTGCCAAGGGGCTTCCACCCATCCCAGTGATGCTGGTGCCAAGAGAAGGGTCCCCACCCCACCC